TACGTAGTAAAATACTTAACTTTCAGGTCATCCTAAAAGATGTCTATTTTTTTGAAAATCCGTAACGACCAATCTTTGTTCAATAAATCAGCTGTGGATAGCAACAGTGAACACTTGGACCAATCAATGAGGAAATTGTTTTCATTTATAGAGAAATAATTCACTCCACATAAAGTCATGCATATCGAGGAGAAATGAAAAGAACAAATATAAGCATATATATCTTTTGTCTGTTCTTCTACATGCATTTTGATTCAAGCAGAAATTGTTTCTTTTAAGGAGAAAGGCTTTTCCAAGCGGAAATTGTTTCTATTGAGGACAAATGCTTTTTCAAGCAGAAATCATTTGTTCTTAGGAGAAACGCTTTTTCAAGCGGAAATCGTTTGTTTTAAGGAGAAATGATTTTTCAAGCAGAAATTGTCTCTTTTAAGGTGAAATGCTTTTCCAAGCAGAAATTGTTTCTATTGAGGACAAATGATTTTTCTAGCAGAAATGGAAAGAAAAAATTCTTTGAACAAAAATTTCATTCTTTACAAATCAGCTGCATAGGTATCTACATATCATCAGACTGAAACGCAAAGTCATCGGAGTTTATTAGCGTTATTAATTTAACTATCTCCTCTTGTATGTAAGAAAAGACATGAGAAAATATTTACATTTATAGAACACCGTTAGATCACTGAAAACATTTTTATTCTTTAGTTACACAATACCTAAATTCTTTATCTTATAAAATAAAGATAAGCGAATTCTTTCTTTCAAAACACTACAGATCCATTAAATAATAAAGATAGATTTCTTGTCCTGAAAATCTGTACTCTTATTTCGATATGAATGCCTCCAAAAAGCTGCATTATCACACATACAAATGAAATATATACATAAACTTTTATGCACACATCTTCTCATATTTCATCCATATGTTTTAACAATATTACATACAAAACTACATCCAATGGAAAGCAAGAAAGTTGATAAACATATCCTGCTCTTATATTAAGGACTTGTTTATTTACCCCTCCTGTGCCAATAGACACTGCCATAGATATGCATAAATGTATGTGTATGTTTATATGTTAATCAGCGATGATTTTGTCCATTTGGATGTCATCCTTAATTTACATTGTGTTAGTGTGATTGACAAATACTCGTTCTTGTTCTATTCAACAACATCTGTCCTATTTCTTTTGGTGTAACTTTCATTGTTCTCTGTCTCTCCCTCTCTCTCTCTCTCTCTCTCTCGCTATATATATATATATATATTCTTCTGTTCTCTTTCTCTTTCTCGTATAACCGAGTGATCTAATTTACCACTATATAAAGGGAGGGAAAAAGGAACAACAGGAGTAGACAGACTAAAGGATGGAATAGTGAAGATAGCATCAATAATATACTGAATATATCAGTAGCGCCATTCTTCCAGTTTGTCCATTGTGATCACAATCAAATTAAATAAATAAAAGAAATGCTGCAGCCGTAACATCATAACACTAACATCATTCATCATTTTTTTTATGTTACACTCACAAACAGAAAACTTTCTTTTCTAATTCGTTTGTCCTCTTCAAAAATGCACAATGTGTTCAATATTTCTTCCAGCAAGATAAAGATTTCAATACATTTTATATATGCAAATTAAAAATTCGATTTTATTACAGACACCGACTTTCACTTGCTTCAGATTTCGTCCAGATCATTTCTTAGTTTTTCTTTTCTTTCTTTTCTGATATCATTTATGAGTACACTTACTTTTTCCTTTGCTATGGACCCCGAATCAACTCTTTCTATTCTTGATATATCTCTCACTTCATGTCGTCCGCTCTCTATACATACATACGTTAAAAATATTAAACAAATTGTGTGGTGTGGTTTAGAAGATTCACCGACCATGTCAATCTATGCATTATTCGTTGTTCTCTACTTTTCCCCAATAAAGATTCATCGCAAGTCAATCCTCTCATACATTTATCTTTATTTTACAGGTGTTTGCAAAAAAGGGTGTGTGTGTAGAGTAAAAGTACAAACCATACCCACACCCAAATTTTTAACTTTATTCAGTTTTGTTCTGTTTTGTAAAACACGATCTGAAAGGAGTGTTGAAGTGTTTAGGGGTAAAAATTTGGGTCTCCCTCTACTCCACAGACCATGACAGACACTCACGTGACCCGTCACAGACCGTGACAGACAGGGCTTTGGAACCATCACAGACCGTGACAGATAGAGCTCTGAATCCATCGCAGATAGTACTCAGGGTCATTATAGACTGTGATAGAAGACTCAAAGAAATATCAGAGATTATGCGTCATTAATATATGGCTGAATCATATATGTAGTATTATCCTGTTGAAAGTCTATAATATAAGGTAAACTATTGTGAAAAAATGTACATCCGTGTGCATAAAAAACGAGAGCTTTTAGAACATCGGATGTAGCAGCTATATCATGTTTCACATTTTTACTCCCACAAGGAATTGCTCTAACAGCTTTATTGATTGTTTCCCACTGAATATTTAGAGTCAATATCGACCTCATTTTTTAAATTGAAACCTATCAGCAACTGAAATAGTCCTTCAAATTGGTGTAGAAAATTTAGTGGAAGAAAAATTTCTTTATTTGTATCGTATTAATGAATGAAACTATTTTTTATGTTTAGTTTTTTTTTTGTAAGTTAAAAATGACAGTGAAAAGGAACATGTATTGAGACATGAGAAAATTATTTTATGTGCAGACAAGAAATAAACTCTAATCAAGAGCTATTTTATGGTTTTTGAAGATATGTGTCCATTTTTAACAGGATATATTATTGAATAATATATTTTCTTGTAGTAATAAAAGTGAAAACATGCAGATGCGACGATAAATTTTCCACTAGCGATCAACAGAATGTGTCATTAATATAGATATTAATCTAATAGGACAAGAAATTTTATTGAAGTATTATGTGACAGAGATCGAAGCCGAATCAAAGTAGAAAAGATACAGAAGCGAATGGAACTTCAGTCAAGATGATTTTTTTCCTTTTAGTTAGTATTACACAAATTGTTGTGCTGCACATAACGTTTCTCTACATTCTATATACTTATACTCAAGTGTTGAAAGTATACCTATGTGTTCGATTGCGATCCTATTGCAACGCAGTTGCGCCGTAACTGCGATCGCATTGTGACCCGTAATTTCAGAAAATTGTGACGCAGTTGTGCAGAACTGCGATGAAAAAATCGCTGCAACGCGCAACTGTGGTAAAAAGATCGCATTTACGCACAACTGCGCCGTAGTTTTTCGCAATTGATGGTCATAGTGCGAACACAGTTGCACTGCAAATGCATTGCAATACATGCAACAGATAACATAGATAAGGTTTTCATTTTTTGTAAATATTTTTATTATCATTTTAAAAAAACTTATTTAAATACATAAAAAATTTAGAAAGAAACGGTTAAACAAACTTTATAAATAATGAAAAACAGGATGTTAAAATTTAAAAAAATAACAAAGAGAAAAAATAAAAAAATTAAGAAAGCAATTAGAAAAACTTAGGAAAAAAGAATATTTATGAAAAATCACAAAAAAATGAGGACACTGAAAAGCATGACGAACAATGAAAAAATAATAATCTAAAAACATCACAAGGATAATGCAAACGAAAATTTTCAAGTTAAAAAATATTAGAGAAGCAGAGGTGTAAAACAATCATGAAGAAGCATAAATGAATAAAAGGAAAAATATTAAAGAAATTATGCAAGATAATATAAATCTAAAAAAAATAAAAATATTCTGTGAGAATAAAATCTAAACAATTTAATAATGAAAATATTAGAGATATTGAAAGACTTTAAAAAGAGTTTTCACTGTTTTTCTAAATATATATTCTACATTTTATAGTAGAATGGATTATGACGCTGATTCTCAAAGACATTACTTTCTATACCGTCTTTGTATGACTATATGTCAGTGCTGAAGTGTGACCAATTAGAAATAAGGGGCAATCGTTTATAATTGGCTGACACTAGTTACAACAGATCGTACATTGCGATCATTACGACTCAGTGGGCGTAAGTGCGTCGCAGTAACCATAGTTTCAAACAGAAATCCTCAATGCGTGGCAATTGCGTCGTAAAGTGGCTACTACGCGTAACTGCGGCGTAGTTGTTAAAATAGTGGTTACATGAGTAGTTTTCCTGATCAGATAAACAATCGATCATGATCAGTATCGAATAAATGAATAAAATAAATAACTATTTGTCTGTATAATTGATATGCTGTATGTAGAATTGCTAAGCTCTTCAATGAAGAAATTCTTTGAAAGAAATCATGTTAGTCTATTGCAAAAAGTTTATCATCAAATTCTCATTCTTATGTTTGTTATTATAAAAGGCTATGTTATCTAATAACAGGTCATTTGAAAGATTGACTCCAACACTCAAATCTCATATAAAAATACTTGGTTACTGATGACTTTTTTAGCCGATATAAACTAATTCTGTTGTATCCGTACAGTTATAAAACACTCTAATGATGCAATACAATGTGAAAGTGCAAGAGCTGATGATTATTGAAGTTATACATTGAAACATGAAATGAAAGAGCAAGTGAAAGTTACACTACAAAAAACTGAACGAAGATAATATTTATACTTTGTTTCTAGTTTTTCTTCAAAACTTTACCATTATGATGTAAAAGAACATATACATAATGATACTCAACTATCAGCAAGTTTCATTTCAGATATATATAGTTTGTTAGTTAGTATTTATATTTTATAGAAATATTATCAACCATGGTTTTCATCTGATGCTTCGTACTTACAAAACAGAGTTATCCATTTCTATTTTTATGAACAATCAATAAAATATCATCATTTAAACAAGTTTTGTTATAAATCTGGTCTTTCTATAAAAGAATCTTTAAAATATATATTTGAAATATAGGAATTATATTTATTGTTTACTTAATCAAAGATAAGTGTTATATTACAAATGAAAATGTCAAAATCATGTATCTCAAATTATTGTTGCTAAATGAATGTTGTTATTTTGTTGAACAAACTGATCATTATTAGGCATTATAGCTACACGATATCTTCTGAATATGAGAGTTTTCAATTTCTTAATGAGATCAGGCATTGACATAAGACAAACCATAGGTAGAACAAGAGGTACAATGTAAACAAGAAAATTAAATGTATCTAATTGTGCTAAAAGAAAATTTGAATCAATATAGATTTGACCAAGTTGAGCTATTGATAATGGAATCCAAACAGCAAGATAAACAAAAGAAATAATTCCTAGTTGAAAAGCCATTTTTCTTTGTCGTCTCTAATTATTTTCAATGCTACCAGCAACAGTCAATTTTTGTTGAATAACACATATGAAAAGAGCAAGATTAAAAATAAAAATTGTTAATACTGGAGAGATAACATCAAAAAATAGATCAAAAGTTCCCCAATTAGTTAATAAGTAACATGGCATACCACATAAAAGACTATTAAAATATCGAATATTGATACACATAGGACTAATTATTATAGTATAAGTATAATACAATGGTCCCCAAAGACAACAAAATACTAAAGGAATTATTCGAAGTAATCTTCGCTTCCAAATACTTAAAGTTCGAAGAAAATAACTATGAAATATAAGTATATGACGTTCAATAGAAATCCAAGCCATAATAAAACCATTAGTAGTATTTAATGAAAATTCATACCATGTCCACCAAGTACAATAAGCTGATGTAGTTAGTCGAACAATACCATCTAATTGAAAGAAATTCATTGGCATAGGAAGATCAGATATGACTTGAAAAAAATTAATTAAAAGTAAAATAAGTATTGATTGATTATGATCTTTAACAAGAGTTGTACTATTGTAACCAAAATAAATAAAAATTGTTAGTGAAACTAAAATTGAAGGAATTTGAAGTGCAATTAATACAGCAAATTTAATTGAGTATGTCAATGAATAATTCACTATAGTGTATGTTTCATTTGTTGACATTGTTTATATTGAAAAATTAGTAGTTTTTATAAATAGGATATTATACAATAAATATATTATGAAGAGTTAGTAGTTAAATTATATGGATCAAGATGTTCTATCACAGGTGGAATAAAAACACTTTTTTTTCAGAGAAGTAACATCGATAATAGTCCTTACAACAAATAAAAGTACATCGAAAATGGATATCATTGACACGAAATAATAAGATGTATGGAAATCAGAGATGTCCATCGTTGCGCTACTATCGATATGAGCGTACCGCCGCCGCGGTTGACTTGCATCGACAGTAGCGCAGCGATGGATATCTCTGATGGAAATGTTTCAGTGTTGATTCGAAGAAATTTCTAAAATTTTGTAGAATATTAAGATCTTAGAATTTCTTTGATGAGGCAATACAATGAAACACTACACTTTCACTTTAATTTCAAGTTCACTAAAAGAGAATATTTAACAGAATGGATTTGTAGAAAGGTGTGTCAAAAAAATGATAAAATATCTGAAAAAAAAAACCCGAGATTCTAGAATGAAACAGACTCGATAGATAAAATAAAATTGGTAAAGGAAAAAGAATCAGAATTTCAGTGTGACGCGCAACGGGATCCATAAGTCTATTGACAAACGAAGCAATGCACAAATATGAGTTATATATAGCTATAGAGAGAGAGAGAGAAAGTGATTAGAGAATAGAAAGATCATGTGAGCAAGCGCAGCAGGAGCTAATAACTGATGACGGTATTCATGTAATGAGGGTTCTTGTTACAAACAGATAATTGAAAAGAAAAACGTTATAACACATTTATGTATTTTGTGTAAATCGAAATTGACTTTGTTTGTTCTGAAATATTTTTTTCTAATGCTGAGTTGAATGATAATAAAAGTACCGCAACATAGACTTTTCAAAGCGCTGAATATTTCTAGATGGAACGTATATTTCGAAAAATGACAGTTCATCATATATAGAGACTTTTCAAATAAAGCGCTTAAAAACATGTTTTATTTTTATACGATATTTAACGTTATTTTGTTTGAAAAAGATATTATTTGAATGGAAATATCGTTCTTAGCTCACTGTATAAATTGAAAACATTATTAAAGAGTAATAGAAAATTGTTAAGATTTATGTTGGCGTCCAATCTTGGATTCAGGCCAATCTCGGAATGGCCTAGTTCAATCTGAGATTCACTTACTTTTTTCTAAGACTCGACTAGGCGAATCTTGGATTGGACTAGACCAATCTAAGTTATTCCGAGATTGGTCTGAATCCGAGATTGGACGCGAACATATATGTTGGTTTTCTCAAAAGAAAATTACCCCATGTCGCTTCTTTTTTATTAAAACCGCCGGTTAACTGTGGTTCGTGAAAAAACCGCTGGTTTTGTTAGCGTCAATAGAGGTCACTCTATTACCGCTAACTTCCAAATTGTGTTCTATTGGATTTTCCTCCACTTTCTAAGTGGTCAGTATATATTTCTCTCTGGACTTTTCCAGTGATTATCCTTCTTGTTGTTTTCTCTCTTCAGTTGGTGTTGAATCTTCCTCCCCGGTGGTCACGAGTTGTTTTTCTCTTCCCTTATCCTTTCTCCCTTTCATATTGTTCTTCATTATTATATTATTATTATTATATGTCTATTGTTATATTCATATTAATAAACCCATATATATATCCCCAACTCATTCATCTTATTATCAACGTAATCAAAGTCAGTATGATTATTTACTTCATTTACGTTAGATCTCTCGTTCCCGTTGCAGACCGGGATTAAATATACTGATCATCTGGCCATAACCGATAGTGTCAGGCTAGAATCATAATTTCCCCCAACGAGAGCCTAACAGGTTTGAGCGTTTCCTTCTTTTTTCATGAATTTTCGACCGATTTTTTCATAAAATCAATATTATTCTTTCTTAGAAAATCATTTTTTACTACAAAGAATTGTTTTAAATCTCTTTTAGTGCATTATTTTGGATGGCACTACAATTTTTCTATTGGTTAATCTTCTAACTTGTAATGATTTTTCTACCGGCATCTTTAATGAAATATTCAAACTCGTAAATTAGGCAAAATTAGCCGATGTGGCTGGTACCAGCGGCTCCAGCGCGCTTACACAGAGAGGTGAGTGGGATTTTGACTAAAATCTATTAGTTTTCTAAGAGTTAAAAAAATATTCATTTAGTGAGAAGTAAAAGTATATTACGTAAATGAATCACCGGTTAACCGGCAGTCTTATGCCGGTTTCAGTGACAAGGGACAAGAATTTTGGTAATCTTTAGGAACAATTAAATTCATAGAGAATTTCTTTAAGTTACGGAAATTTTGAAAAATCTTGAAATTAAGAAAAAGAGAAGTTTTGAAAGCATCGTTAGTTAATCAATTTCTCGATGTCATTGAATTTTGGAAATCATCGTTTATAAACGTCCAGAGATTTTCTTAATATTTTTTTATGGTCTAAAACGTTGCTGAATCTTCATGTAAAATCAGTTTAATAAATGAATATCATTTGATGTGCAATAGAAATGCTAAATAAATTTACTTTCCTGTAACTTAAATATTCGTAGAGTAGAAGATGGATATGAAAGCGTTAAAGTCTGTGAAAAAACAAGATATAAAGACTTAAATTTAAACCTAGTTACCAACCAATCAGATCAAAACGAATTTTTTATGCTAAATTCCTGCATGATAACATATCAATGACTTTAAACGTGAAGTAATTCGTTAAAATCTACTGTAGAAACTAGTTTAAAAGTCTAATTTTAACAAAACTATGCATTTTAATGGGTGTGTGTTAGTGTAACGCGTTTTCACGTGTTAAATATCTCGTAATAACGGCGTTTCAATTCTAAAATATCGTCAAAATGACATTATTATGCGATCTTCATGAGCTTCAACGCGTTTTTTTAATGATCTTTATTTGACTGTATAGTTATCTACTGCATCCAAAAGAATGTATATTAGTGGACGATAATATCTATTTACAAATTCATTATATAGTAAATTATTATTACAACGATGATGTGATAATTCCAAAACTTCTGGTGCTCTATGGAAGATGTTAAATATATTTCATTTATTTGGAATTCCTATCTAAAAATAACACATGATTAAAGCCTTCAATTTAACAAATAATCTTTAATTATAAGTAAAGAACAGCACGAAGTGTCTTCAGCTAATCATTTGTTCATAGGTATGCACCAGTTCCAGTCATGACTGGTGAACTGGGTACCAGTCGTGACTGGGTACCCAGTCATGACTGGTACCCAGTCCGACTGGTGCCCAGTCATGACTGGGTACCAGTCATGACTGGGTCATCAATCATTTAATCTTTAATTTATTACATGCATAATATCTCCCTCTTTCTTATAATATTATAATAAACTCATCATAACCTACTAAAGCA